ACCTCTTCTTCAACAACTATATTGTCACCAATCCCTTTACCTACAACTTTTTCACTCCTTGTAGTTATCGACTTGCAATGCTCCTTGGGGTTGATTTGTGTGTTGGCTGAAAAATGTCCTCCTTGCTGCTTAGATAACACTTTAGCCAATTGGCTCACCTGGGTCTCTAAATTTTTTATCAAAGCCTCTGTATTTTTCTGATTAGATAAGGAAGCTTGCATGAATTTATCTAAAGTGTCCTCCAATTTGGTTGTTTTCTCATACACTAGAGGGTAATATTGTTGTTGTTGTTGATATGGAGGTTGTTGATATGACTGTTGTTGTTTTAAAGGTTGTATATTAGATGAACCAACACCTTATTTCCACCCAAAATTTTAATTTTGATTCCCTCTCCATCCTTGTGAAAAATTGTTCTAATAGTTGTTGGAATTAGGGAAATTTGCTTGTCTTCCTTGACCACTATCACTTTGAGCACCCATATAATGAGCTTCTTCTTCTTGTAGGTTGCCTAGGTAAGAGCAGTGTCCATTTGGATGATCCCCTCCACAAAAGTCACAACTCGTTTGTTGGTTGGAAGTGGATTGGACAACATGTAATTGTTGAGGCAGTTTTGCCATTTGCTTGGTCAATGCTTCAATTTGTTGAGTCATAATTTTATTCTGAGCTAGGATATCATCTTCGGTGCTAAGATCAAGCATTCCTTTCCTTTGAACTGGATGTTTATCATGTTGGGTTTACTGGTCTGTAGAGGCTAGTGCATCAATAATTCTAGTGGCATGTTCAACATCCACAGACATCATGGTTCCTCCTGCTGCAACATCTAAGAGCATCTTTGTATCAGGTCTCAAGCCAATGCAAAAAATGTTCAATTGGGCAATGTCTTCAAATCCATGATTTAGGCACCTCCTTAACAATGATGTAAATCTCTCATATGCTTCACAAAAGGGTTCATCTGCTCTTTGTCTGAAAGTAAAAATGTTGAATTTTGCCTTGATGTAGCGAGATGGTGGAAAAAATATGTTCAGCAACTTCTCTTCTACATTACCACAGTTGGTCAAACTCTGATTAGGATGTGTTTTTAACCACTCCTCTACCCTGCCAGCCAGTGAAAAAGGAAACAATCTCAAGTATGCAATTTCAATATCTCCTTCTTTAAATCCCATTGTGTCAATCAACTCATAAAAAGTGGACAAATTAATATAGGGATCTTCATGTTCCATTCTGGTGAATTAATGAGCACTAATCAAGCTTAAAAAGGTTGGCTTCATCTCCAAGGATTGGTTGGTTGGTATCGCAATGCTAGAGAAGTGTCTCGGACCTTGACCTTGTTGCATAGCATAGTCTCCGAGTGTTCTTCTAGGTGGATTTGCTCTTTAACACTTCATGTCTTCTATGACTGGGTCTGGAAAGTTGAGTATGGGAGAAAAGTTTACTGATTCTCCTGTTTCTTGTTCTTGAGTTTCCCTTCTTCTACCACGATTCCTCTGAACAGATTTTTCAATCTCAGGATCAAATTCCAATTGATCTATAGATATCTATTCTCTTAAAAACATAAATCAAAGAACAACTCAAACAAGAATTAACACAGGACAAACAATAAAAAAGTAAATAATAAGCTAGACAAAGAATTTCCAAGGAACGTTGTTCCTCAACAAAAGCGCCAGAAATATTTGTTGGTCTTTTGGCAAGCGTACCAATATTATCAATCGTAGTACAATATTTCAATTAAATAAAAGTTGATCCCACGAGGAATGGTTTCACTGAAAATTTTGAATCATATGCTAACTAAGTGTATTAACACAAAATGAGTTTTTCATAAACTTTTGGATTGAAAACAAACTATAAAAAGCTATAAAATATTTTTAGAAAAGATGAAATATGAGAATTTAGGATTGACTTACTTCCTTTTCCCTCCTTTGTATAATGGCTAGGTCAAATTAGTAACATCAATTAATCTATCAATGTTGATGTCACCTACTTAAATCATTCACATTGATTCCTCAAACATGAAATTCATAAGAAAACCTTGTAAACATAGATTCCTCATACATTTAATAGATTTTCCAACATTAGGTTTAGGGTGTTAAGCACTCAATACATCCATTACCATTCCTAGCAATCAACATATCAAATATTCTTAACCTAATCAAGGGTTTCAAGATATATTTCCCAATATATATGAACATCCAGGATAAAAGCATTAACAGGAACAAAGGGTAAGAATAACAACATCAAGAACATAGATTAATGTCTCAAAATATCACCAAGATACAAAAGAGTTCAAAGGAAGTGCACACAATCCTAAGAGAATGAAGTTAGCCACTCATAATGGCCATTAGAATGATCCAAATGAAGAAAAATTGAAGATTTGTCGAAAACTTGAGCAACTGCCACGCCTTTCTTCTCAAAACCCCCCCAACTTCCTTTCTTAAAACGCATCTTATCTTTTTATAGAAAAAATTTTCATCATTCGCTCAAGCGAAACGTTCGCTCAAGCGAAAAATGATGATTTTCGCTCAAGCGAGAATTGTTCACTTGAGAGGTTGAATTACCGAGAGTTTTAATGTATTTTCGCTTGAGCGAGTGACTTCTAAAGAGCTTTAACGTATATTCGCTCAAACGAGCGTTCGTTTCGCTCAGGCGACTCTTAGGCTAAAAATCTTTTTCCTTTTTTCCAATTTTTCTTCAATTAACTTGATAATTATGATTCTTGCTCTTGTACCCATGTATTCTGCAAATTCATCCTACATTGGGAGAAAAATATATTAGAATCAACATAATTTACGTGGTTAAATAACAATTCAAAGCATAATTACATCAACTTTTGCCACTTAACATGTACCTTTCTTAGTTTCCATTACAACGATGCCTCTTTCTTTTAACTCTACTAGTGTGTCATATCCTAATCGTACTTTCACTTTGATAGGGTTGTCAATGTCCCTGAAGATGTTTTCATCTTTGGCCATGTGATTACTACATTCGCTATCCAAATACCAGTTTTTGCTTGTTTCATCATTGGAGTCTTGAGTGGCATAGAAAAGATGTTGTTGAAGGTCATGTTCTTCAAAAAAATTTGCTTCATTCTTGTTTTTTATGCGACAATTTTTCTCCACATGTCCAAACTTCTTGCAATGTTGGCATTGAGATTTTTCACGATGTCAACAATCTTTTTCCAAGTGACTTGACTTTTTGCAGATGCCACAAGGAAGAAATTTATCTTGACTAGACTTGGAGAATTTTTTAGAGTTTTCTTTATTTCTAGAAATTTCTTCAATTTTCTTTCCTCCAATTTCTTTATTCTGAGACCGTAATTTGAGTTTTGATTGAAAGATATTTTCGACAGAATCTTTATTATACCTTTTCAATCTTTGCTCATATGCTTCAAGAAAACCTATTAGTTCTGTCACCGATAAGGTAGACAGATCCTTGATTTGTTCAATTGTTGTCACAATTGTATCATATTTGTGGGAAATAGAAATTAAAATCTTTTCAACAATTTTCTTGTCTAAAATATTTTTCCCACATGCTCTCATTTGGCTAATTATCTCTTTGATTATAGTATAACAGTCTTAATGGTATCAAATTCATTCATACTCAATAATTCAAACTCACGTCTTAGAGTTTGAAGTTTAATAGTGCGTACCTTTACACTTCCTTAAAACTCCTCCTATAGTGTGCTCCACGCTTCTTTGACACTTGTGACATCCATCATTCTTGAAAAAATTGCATCAACCATAACTTGTTATAGAAAGTATAATGCCCTTGAATCTTTTTGTTTGTTCTCTTTCAACTCTTTCTTCTGAGCTATTGTTAATGTAGAAACGTCTGTAAGAGTAATGAAGTCATTTTCAACAATCTCCCACAGATCTTGAAAGAAAAAAAAAATGTCTTCATTTTAATGTTCCAAAAGTCATAGTTTTCTCCCGTGAAAATAGGTAGATGAATAGATGAAAAAGAATTGACATTAGCCATTAGTTGGAATTTGTATGAAATATAGTAAGACTTTTCGAAGTTGGTTAGATTGTATCTACGCCCAATAGATGATCAAACGTAGCTCCGATACCACTGTTAGTATTTTCGGAAGGACAGGAAAGATGGTTTGATGTTTAATAGTGAGATTTGTGTAGAAAATAATTTTTAGAGAGAGGTGTGCAAATAAGAGAATGTTTGTATGACAGAATATAATAATTGATCTTGGAAGCGTTACGAAATGTGTAGGAGTTTGTATTAGTTTTTTTTTTACACTCATTACATAAGTGACATTGCCTATTTATAGGTTTGATCCACCAACTCCTAAATATTCTAGATTTTCTTAACTCTAGAATTATGTATCTTCTACTTTCAAACATTTTTAAAATCTTTTAAGGATTCTATATATTAGTCATATGAAGTTCTTAATTTTAGTAGTATCTAAAATTTTATTTTCTAGATCTTTCTAGAATTTACATCATCTTTTAACAATATTACATGAGAAAACTAAGCAATTTAAGAGATCAACCATAAACCATCTCTGCCTTTAAATTTTTGGAGAATATATATCATCTGTTGTGAGAATTCATATCCTCTACCTTCGACTTAACCGTTGTTTCAATCCAATTACATTATACCTTTAGTGAGTTTCAAACTCCAGCATTGTGCATACATAGCAATTACCTACATACGTACTCAACTTAAATACAAATATAATATCTGAAGATTTAGATCGTGGTCTGTGAGAAGATAATATTAAACACAACTATTTCCTATCATGTTGAGATAAATAAATATATATCAGACATATATATCTTAATAAATATTTGTTTCAACATAACTGCTTATGTTAATACTTATATAATATTTTGGATTTTGTAGCATTGGTTCTATATTTGCAATTTTATGACTATCAATACGTGGTTACAAACATACATTCATTTAATTAAATATGATAATACCTGTATGTTCGTTATTGTGTCTAGGGATGTGTGGTTGAGAGCATTACCCGTATCGCAGATTCTTTAATCATGCAAAGGTATGATCGATGTGCTTGATTTGTTGCAGAATGAATCTTTCTCTGTTAGAATGTCTAATTTGTTGAAGTGATATACCAGAACTTATTAGAGGTACAACTAAGAGAAATTAGCTGAATTTTTTCCCTCTTTTTTCTCTCTGAAACAGGCTTGGAAGAAACCAACAACACCTATCACGTAAGTGGATTCTCTCTTGTCCAAACCTAAATTTTCTTATTTCTCCTTTGTGTTAAATAACAAACATAAACATCTGCCACATGTTATAATAACAATATTTATTATACAGCAATACAAAAAGTTATTTAAAATCTTTCAAATAATTTTATATTAATATTCTATTAATAAGGCCCCTGGGAGTGTTTGCCTATTCAGATGTTTGTTATAGAGTTGTGGAAAGATATTTCTGCATAACTTTTTATTGACATAAAAGTTACATTCCTTAATTATAACAAATTTTAACATCAGAATTATAATATTTTTAATAATATACTTATTGGGATTATTAATCATAATTTAGATAAGTTTGTTGGAGAATGAAAAAATAAAAATAATGACATAATTGTTGAAACTATAACTGGTGAATGCAGGCTGACAGAAGAGTGGTCGAGTAAGCTGGAGATCATCCTCTACGTACCCAACAAGGCTGTCATCCATACGATGAGGTAATTTTATTGTCTTTTCTTTTCTGATTAATTAACATTATCTCTTGTAAGAAAATCTTACACATTTTTTTACTAACATTTAAATTTAGGGTTTATGGTGGATTCCTTGATTACATTTTGTTTGAAGTGAATCAATTCGGTAATCATAATCTGTACAATCATCTCATGAGCGAACAAGTGGTGAGTTATTTATATTTGGGAAAATTGTCTGAATGGATGAATTTAGCTGCATTTAAGAGTCATTTTAACGTAAGTTTTTTTTTTTTTGATCGGCAACAAAGAATAAAATTAATAGAAGTACAAGGGGGTACTTTAACCCAAAAACAACTAAAAGAAGCTAGATGAACGAAAATAAAACACACCCTGTTGGGTCACAAGAACGAAAGCTCAAGAATACAGGTTTAATTACCCCAACGGTGCTTAAAGGAAGTAGCTTCGGGTAAAATGTTAATACTAACAAAACTTATAACAAGGTTAAGAAAAAAACCTTATAGCTCTCGGATACTCCCGCTCACCGTCTTCCTATATGATTTCTCGTTATTGTGGCATGATTACACACTTTAACCTGAAAAGACATATACCAGCCAACACAGACAAAAGAGAAGTTAAAGGGCAATTAGTCTCATACATCTTACCGATTCGTAGAACTAATCGGAGTTTGCTAGACCAAAGAGAAGTTAAAGGGCAATTAGTCTCATACATTTAGCGCAACAAGCAGTGAAATTTGCACTCGCATTACTAAATCCTACTTCCGCATCAAATTTATCATTTTTAAAAATACATTTATTCCTTTGAGACCAAATTTCATATACCACTGCTACCCATAGTCTTTTCCACAACATGTTTCCCTTCGCTCCCAATCCACCTAATGCAAAGTTTTCCAGGCTTGCTTTTGCCTCACAGTGGCTAACAAAGCTGATTCCCACCCATCTAAAGCACTTTTCCCAGATCTCCCTGGTCACCTTGCACGTGAAAAAGAGATAATTGAATGTTTCGTCCTCACTTCCACACAAAGCGCATTTTGGGTTACATATATCAACCCCTCTCCTAGCTAAATTTACCTTAGTAGGGATCCTATCCTGAAGAATTCTCCACCCTGAAACCATGACTTTTGGTATCGCTTTAATTTTCCAGTACCATTTGAAGATCGTTCTCATTGCAAGTTTCTTCGTTTAGAATCTCATACGCTTCTTTTACAGTATACCTTTCATTTTTATTCGATCCCCACAACCACGTATCTTCTGTAACCCTATTAAGTGTTATGCCCTGAATCTTACTTAGCATTTTCTCCTCCATTTCCTTCTCCCGTTTGAAACGTTGTCTTCTCCAGCTTACTCTCCATTCGCATCTATTTTCCATCCACACACCACGTTCTGATAGCACCCAATTTTTGTTCAGTCCTATTTGTTTTAACCTTGGATACAAGTGACCTAAACTCTGTTCCCCAATCCACACATCGTCCCAAAACCTGATTTTCTCCCCATTTCCTATTTTTTCATGTTACATGTTTATCAAACCAAGCTCTACCAACATTATCTTTACATATTCTTTTTATATCTAGCCACCATTTTGAATCCTTATTAATATTTTTCGGTTCGTCTAAGGCTCTCCAGGACCCGTATTTGGCTTCTATTACTTCCTTCCATAATCATTTTGACTTGACACCTAACCTTCATTTCTATTTTGCTAGTAGGGACCCGTTCATCTTCTGAATGTTCTTCACCCCTAACCCACCCTCTTCCTTTCTTCTACATATTTTTTGTCATTTTACCCACGCTATCTTTTTCCCTTCTTTGCTCCAGCCCCACACAAACTCCATTTGAAGTTTTGTTATCTCTTTTATCACTCTAACAAACATTTTGAACATGGATACATAAAACAATGGTACTGCCGAAAGAATTGATTTCACCAAACATACCCTCCCAGCAAAGGAGAGCATACACCCTCTTTACCTAAAGAGTTTTTCTTTACTTTATTTATGAAGTCGTCCCAAAACTCGTGCCTTAACGTAAGTTTTTGTGCAGTATGCAAAAATTGTTCTTCCTTCTCATACGTTATTGTTATCTACAACGGGAAGAATGAATCTCTACATAGGATCAGTTTTCGAAGGGGTGAGTGTGATGTCAATACTAGTTCACATTATTAATTTCTTATTATGATTAGTTTGAAGTTGTCGTTTGATCTAACATTTAGGTTTTTGACTGTCGCAGGATGCGGTATTTGTTCAACATCTATAAAGTATGCATTTGGCTCTCAAGAAGAGATAGATGCAGCAACTTTGCAGAACCAATTTCTATTACTCTGGGTGGCTTGTTCTAAGAAACTTGCGTTTTATGAATTTTTATTTTGACATTGTATATAGTAAGTACTATGGATTATTACAAATTTTATCTGTCAGATACCATCAATGTAGGTTTGGTATTTCCTTCAAGTGAAGTTTCGGTAGTCATTGTTCAGTTCTTGACTAAGTTCTTCAACCTTCCTTATTGTTTTCAATTAGCATGGGTTTTGAATCATTGAGGAAGCACACCTGGTTTGACATTAATAAGAATCTTTTCCATATATATTCAACAAAATAAATTGTTCACAACCCAATCACTATGGAAGTCAAACATAATTAATTTATTTTCGTATTCCTCTTATGTGTGAATGTTCCGGTTCTATAAAAAATATTGGGTTAATAATAAGGCCAATGCAAAGCACCAAACTACATTTTGTTGAAGAAAAGTGTTCTATTAAGAATCATATTGAAGACTGCCAATAGCACCAGAAACAACTTTTCCCATAAATCAAACGGGGGGAAGAAAAGTATTATCAATTATTTAAAATTTGGAAGGATCCCTGTGACTCATTCAATCAATCATCTTTTTTTTTTCTTCAGCTTACTTAAAAAATTGCAATTTTACGTTAAGTATTTTAGATATTTTATATCGTAAAACGGACATAAATATCATTGATATAAAAAAATGATAACTTTTAATGTTGATTAATAATCGATGTAGGTAAAATACATATTACAACATTTACTTACAAATGATGTAGTATATCTCTTTTCTAAATATCAAAATAAATAGAGACATTTATATATCAATTGTTTCTATAGTTGAGGTTGCAATTACATTACGATTAATATTTTGACATTGGTTCTAGAGATAATTAATATAATATGTGTTAATTTTTTAAAATTATTTTTTTATTTTGTTTTGACCATATATAGATAATTGTAAAGAATTTTCACAATCATGTATATTTATGTGTATATAACATATATTTCTATAAAAAAGAGAAATATGTAAAAGATGACTTAATTATTTATATTACAGATTGTATTTATATATACACATTACAGTACAATTGTGATCCTATAATAAAGCTAATAGTAATTATAATAACTAAATATAAGAAGAAATTAATGATGATAGATGCACTACACGTTACATGGTTAAAATAATAACATAATATCAAGGATATTAATAACAAAATATTAATGCAATTATTAGAATTATAATTTTCTCTAACTCCATCTCTCAAACTTACTGTGATATAGTCATCTCAAGTTTGTCTCTCAAAATGTTAAGTCTGTGTGAGAGGTTTGGTTAAACAATTTGCAATATGATCTGTTGTAGGCACATAGGCTATTGTTACTTGATCTTGAAGCACTTGTCACGTATGTAGTAAACATCTATCTCAATATGTTTGGATCGGAAGACATCACTGGATTGGATGTCAATTCCTTGGCACTTAATTTATCACACTACAAAGCTAGTTTTCTGAGCATAGGAAGATGTATCTCACCTATAAATGATATGATCCAAGCTACTTCTGCTACTAAGTTAGTCAAAACGTTGTATTTGACTCTGTACTTGATTGTGACCCCATTTTTTATTTTCTTGAGGCACACAAGATTAACGTATCTCCAAGGAACATACTTTATCCTGCCATGAATTTATTATTATCTATGCTAGTAGCCCAATCTACATCAGAGACCTAACACTATCAAGATCAGTTGAGAATTTGATATGAAGGCATAAATTAATTTGTTGTGCCATGGAGATATCTCAGTATTCTTTTTATTCCTTGTCAATGATTTGTGGTTAGGGAACTCATATATTGGTTGAGCTTGTTGGCAAAAAATACTGTCTGGCCGAGTGTTGGTTAGATGTTGTAATGCACCTATAACTTGTTTGTATAGTGTAGGATTAGCCATAGGTTCTTCTTTGGTAGTGAATTATTACCCTGTTACCATTGGTGTGGGGCAGGATGCAATTTTTTCCATATTAAACTTCTTGAGCAGGTATTTAATGTACTTTTATTTCAGATGCATTCTACCTTGTGTACTTCAATTCCCAAGAAGCAGTGTTGATGTATCTAGATACTTGGCGTTGTTCCATATTGCTATTATGTCATCAACATATATGAGAAGGAGTATGATATGGTTAGTTCCTCTAAGGACAAATAGTGATGAATCACTCTTGATATTTTGAAACCCCCCATTTTAGTAGAGTATCCTTCAACCTGTCATATCAAGCCCTTGGGGCTTGCTTCAAGCTGTAGATTGTCTTGTTTAATTTGCATATGTGGTCAGACTTGGTTGAATTTGTATATTCTTCATGTTGATGCATAAACATACTTTCTTTAAGATTGCCATTCAAGAATGCATTGTTTATGTCTAATTACCTAACTTTCCAATTTAAACATACTACAATGGATAAGACAATTCTTATAGTGTTGGGTTTGATCACTGAACTGAAGGTTTCATCATAGTCCAGAACTGCAGTTTGTTGAAAATCTTTTGTAACCAATCTTGCTTTCCTTCTCTCAATTGAGTCATCTACCTTGTACTTAGTTTTAAAACTTTAAGTATATGATGTTATTCTGCCCCTAAAATAGTACCAATGTCCAAGTGTGATTAGCTACTAGAGCTTTAAATTTTGCATCCATGATTGTTTTTCATCTTGGATTGACTAATGCTTCGTTGACATTTTCTAGTTCCTTATCCTCTGTGTGTGTTTCTATCAACCATATGTAGGATAGTTTTGGCTTGTAGATCCCTGCCTTACTTCTAATTTGCATCCAGTGCGTGTTGTCGCACTAGGCCTGTTGGTTATTGTCTTCTAGTGTGTTTACCGATGTGTCCTCTATTAGGCTTTCTACAACTGGTGTTTCATTTGCATGCAAGGTTGCCTCATCTGCATTGATAAAGATATCACTAAGCTTCATTGGTAGTTAAGTCATTGAGAGTTGGTTGTTCTTCATTGGTAGCTAAGTCACCTTTCTTATGGTTCACCTCACTATTAGTTTATTCAAATGTGTGACTTGTAGCGATACTTGCAGGACAAGATAAAAGAATAGTAGGTATTATTCCAGTTAGAGTTTTTAATGAATTTCTTGCGTCAAGAAAGTCATCATGAAATGGAAAGTGGTTCTCATTAAAGACCACATGTCTTGAGACAAAAATTCTTCTATGGAAGTTGAGACCCTTATACCCCTTGTGAGATTTGTTGTATCCCAATAACACACACTGTGTAATGTGGAATTGACGTTTGTGTTGATTGTATGGTTTGAGGCAAGGAGAGCAAATGCAACCAAAAGGATTTAAGGCAACATAGTCAGGTTCTTTCCCAAATAATAATGAATATGGACTTTCATTTGGATTAACTGATGAAGGCAATCTATTGATGAGATAAACTAAGGTAGAGAAAACTTCCCACTAGTAGTGTAAAGAAATTTTGTCATGTGCCAATAGTGTGACATCTCTATATATATTTTTTTGCTCTACCATTTTGTTGAGAGGTATATGTGCAAGACGTACTAAATTGAATTCTTGACTTGATGACTATTTTTTCAATAGGTTTATACTCACCTCCACCATCACATTGAAGGGCTTTTATTTTCTTGTTACACTAATTTTCAACCATACTTTTGATTAAGTGAAAGCATGTATTGTTTTTTTATTTTTGCTTTAAAGGAAAAGTCTAAGTGAATCTACTGAAATCATCGATGAAATGAACATAGTACATTAGATGGAGACAAAATTGGGGCTGGTCCCCACACATCACTGTGAAACAATTCTAAAGGTTCCTTAGCATAAGAGGAAGAGGATTTAAATGGTAATAAGTGAAGTTTACCAAATTGACAAATTTCACAAAATGAAAATTGATCACTTGATGAAGTTTTCACATTGCAATTCTTCAACACTTCTTCCAGGACTTTATTGTTGGGGTGTCAAAGCTTTCTATACCAATTCTCCTTGATTGGCATGTAGATACATGAATCTTTATTTACTTGAGAGTTGACACTTAAAAGTTGGTATAATTTATCTCTAAGTTTCCCTTTTAGTAGTGTATTTCCTGTCAATTTGTCATTCACATAACAATGGTTTGCATCAACTTTAACAAGAACATTATTATCGACAATTAGTTTAGATACACTCAACAAATTTGTTGTTATTTCTGGAACATATAGAACATTATGTAGGTTGAGGTTATTTAATTTAGTTAAGCCTGAGGCTAATATTTTCAATCTTTCATCATTTTCAACTAAGAGAATTCTTACCATTACTTTTATTGAGATCTTGGAGTTTCTCATTTTGATAAGTCACATGATTACTAGCTCCACTATCAAAATACCATTCAGTTATTCTATTCTGCTTTTAAATGGTAATAATTGGGCTTGTAGATCAACCCAACTAAGGTTGATTTGATTAGATAATTTGACCACCACATGATTGTAATCAACATCTAGGTCATTCGGTGTTTGGATCATCAATTCTAAGTTGAAGATCAGTGATCTTGCCAACTTTAATTTGTCAGCAAAGTTCTTCATTTTGAGAAGATACTTATCCATCTTCATTTTGAGAAGATACTTATCCATCTTCATTTCTCCTTTGCGAGTGTTATAAAATTCGAACTTAAGATAGATTGTCCTTGATTTTGTGTGTACACCTACTAGGTTTTGGGCTTCATCCCAAAGTTCCTTAGAGGTTTCACAATGCAGCAAATGTGTTGCAATATTAATGGTCATTGAATTTCTTAATCACCCTAGGAGAGCTTGGTCGTGTGCAATTCACTCTTCATAGTCAATATTGTCTTTCTTAGTTTTGTTACTTGTGGTAACAAACAATTTTGGACATTCTTTTATTCCTAGTATATAGCTATCAAGCTTGCAACCTCTAATCAATAGAAGAACCAATGAAATCCATAGGAAATAGTTATCTTTATCTATCCTGACAAAGACAGTTGTAGGTAGGTAATTTTTTTTACTTGTATTGACTGCAGAAGACATGATTGGATAGAGAACATTCAAGCTTAATTGCTCTCATACCAAGAAAGAGAAATATATAAAAAATAACTTAATTATTCATATTAAAAATTGTATTTATATATATACATTATAGTACATTTGTGATCCTATAATAAAGCTAGTGGTAATTATAATTATAATAAACAAATATAAAGAAGAAATTTATATGATAATTGCACGTTACATGGACAAAATAATGGCATAATATCATAAATATTAATAACAAAATATTAAAATAATTATTAGAATTATAATTTTTTCTAACTCTATATTTACCTAAATTATAATATTTAAATTTATGCATGAAAATAACATTTTCGACATTCTAAAAAAAATATTCCTATAAATATTGTTTTATTCTAAATTATAAAAAAATAGATTAAACTAATACTGAAAATAAATTCAAAATTTCTAATTTAATGGAGAACCGTAGAAGATGGCGCGCGATACAGAAGACGGTGGTTGATGGAGGACCGTAGGACTGAGGAAAAAGAATGACACACGAACGAATAAAAAGAGATGGGGGAAAGAAAATAGTTGGTGATGCCATGTTGGTGTCACGATTCAAGAGATCGATTAGTGGGGTGTCGTACTGGAGAATAATGATTAATGTTCAATGCCAGAGGAAGATGTTAAGAAAAATGATTGAACTTAAGGGTTAAATTGAATGATAAAAAAAACTTTCAAGATTTTCGTAAACAAGATGGCGAACTTTCACTGCGAATGATCATATAATACAACTCCAGATTATCTACAAGTCAATGAGGTTAGCTTTATTGTTGTAAATTAAGAGGTATTGCAAAACAGAGCACGTGTTCTCACACGTTGCAGAAGACTATTTCAGAGCACGTGTTCTCACACATTGCAGAAGACTATTTCAGAGAACGTTGCAGAAGACCGTTTCAGAGAACGTGTTCTCACACACGTTGCATAAGACTTTTTCAGAGAACATTACAGAGAACGTTACAGGGAACGTTACAAACCCACTACCAAGTCTTCCATAACTGTTACAAACTTTCTCTTATAAATAGAGACCACTTCACACTCTTCAGAACACACCTCTCTCATCTTCTCTTCTCTGATCTTCTTTCTGTGTTCCTGGGTTAATTTACTCTTTTGAGAGTTTCTTGCTAGTTTCTGAGATCCTCGGATATTCCGAGAAGTTCCTGTTGTATACTGGGGGACTTGCGCAATACACCGCGGATAAGTCCTTAAGGGCAGTGATTATACATGCCTCAGGAACAAAGTTTGCTCGTGTCTTTGTCAGCTTTTACAACAATCTTAAGGACTTATGGCTGACAGTATGGATACCAACAACAACTTCACACCGGAAAAGACAAACAACATTTCCAGAACTCAAACTGTCTATGCGAAACCGTTCCCGGACGTTTCGAAAATTGAAGTTTTCACTGGGCAAAACTTCCGGCGCTGGCAAGAACGTATTTCTACTCTCTTAGACATGTATGGAGTGGCTTATGCTCTTACAACTACCAAACCTGACTCCAGTGCTCCTGCTAAACAAACTGAAGATTGGGTTCATTCGAACAAGGTATGTCGACACACCTTGCTTAGTGCATTGTCTAATGATTTGTTCGATGTGTATTGTTCCTATAAGGAAGCCAAAGATATTTGGTATTCATTGATTCTCAAATACACTGCCGAAGATGTCGTGAGACAAAGGTTTGTTATTGGAAAATACTACCGCTGGGAGATGCTAGAAGATAAGGATATTAAGATCCAGATCAACGAGTACCACAAACTACTTGAAGAGATTAAAGCCGAATATATAGTCCTACCTGATGAGTTCGTTTAGGAACTTCTAATCAAAATGCTTCCAGAATCCTGAACAAACTACAAACAACAACTAAATCATAGACATAAACAAATGTCGCTAGCATATCTGATCACACACATCATCATCGAAGATACCAATCGGAAGGAGTGTGTTGCTGCAAGGGCTAAAGCTTATCAGCTAAGGCAAATATGACAGAAGACAAACCAACTCAAAAAAGGTACGAGAAAACACCTGATTGTAAGAAGAAAATTAATTTTAAAAATTCTCGTCCCAATAGATCTAACCCCACCTTCAAGAAGAAGGGAAATTGCTTTGTTTGTGGAAAGTCGGGTCATCATGCACCTTAGTGCAGACGTAGAATGAGAAACGACAATCCTCCTAAGGTAAATTTAGCCAAGGGAGAAGATACAATTATTGCGGTCGTTTCTCAAATAAACCTTGTGACAAATGTGAGCAAATGGGTGGTAGACTCTGGTGCTACCAGGCACATCTGTGCACAGTGGCGGATCTTCTTGGGAGCTGAGGGGGGTCGTGGCCCCCCCAAAGTTTTATAACTCCCATGTAATTTATGATTTTGGCCCCCCCAAACTTAATAACATTTAATATATTTACTTGTATATTTACAATTCTATCCTCTCAGCCCCTCTTCAATTTTGTAACTCCCATGTAATTTATGACTTTGTCCCCCTCAAACTTAATGATCATTTAATATATGTAAATATATATCTACAATTTTATCCTTTTACCCTTTCATCTTCTTTCTTCCTTTTATATTTTTTTATTATTTATTAATAATATATTATTTTATATTTATTATTTATTAATAATATATTATTTGGCCCCCCCAAGATCAATGGTCAAGATCCGCCACTGTCTGTGCAAACAGAAGTGCTTTTACCTCCTACACTAGTGTGGGGATGGAGAAGAACATGTTTATCTCGGTGATTCCAGGACAACTCATGTCTTAGGAAAAGGAAAAGTTCTTCTAAAGCTCACATCTGGAAAGACTCTCGCCTTGAATGATGTGCTACATGTGTGATGAGTCATTATATTCCCGTATTTTCTTCCCTTTCTGAACTTATTTTAATTAGTGTTTTGGGCTTAACTTTCTATTATTAGTGAATTTTCATTGA